AAAGGGAGGGGCTGCGACCCTCTGTCCCCGCCCCTGGGGCGGAGCCGAGGTCTGAGCCTGCAGAGCCTGAGACCCGCCGAAATCCGCCCGGGGCTCCCTCCCCGGCTCCCGCCTCCCCCGACCCAGATTCGGGGAGACCCGACTGCCCCCAGCCCTCCGCGGCCCTCCGACCCTCGACCCCGGCGCAAGGGCGGGTGCGGCTTCCCCGCCCCTTTCCCGCCCAGGGCGCACCCCGTTGCGGCGGCCATGGCGCGAGGAGACGCCCCGCAGGACAGGTAGGTGGGGGCCGGGTGGCGTGCCCACGCGGACGCGAGTGGTCGGGGCAGCGCAGACCCGGTCTCCAGGCGCTCCAGGGCGCGAGGAAGACCAGGTTGAACTACAGTTCCCATCAGCCGACTCCCTCGGTTGCCTGAGCGGGGTGATGGGGCTTGTAGTCCGCTCCCCGGAGGGGGTGGCCTGGGAGGCGGGCGGGCCGGCCGAGGCGGGTGCGTCCTCGGGGTGACCTTCTGCCTGATCCCCACAGCTACCACCTGGTCGGGATCAGCTTCTTTATCCTGGGGCTGGGCACCCTCCTTCCCTGGAACTTTTTCATCACTGCCATCCCGGTGAGACTCGCGGCAGGAGCGACAGCCCCATGGTCACCAACCACCATCCATCTCTCCAGCCTTGGACAGAGGCTTACCGGGCTCTCCTCCCCATCCCCCCCATGCCGCCTGTGACTCCTCATTAAGCTCACGTGTGGGCTTCAGCACAGAACCTCAGAGAGGGGAATGTTTCTATCATGGCCAGGGGAGCGAACTTTCAGGCATGCCCAGATCCCAGAAAGGCAAGGCCACCAGGGAAAACCAGCAAAACTGCAAAAGAGCTACCCAATCACCTCCTCTGTTTGCTGTTATTCCTGAGCCAGTCACCCCAGAAGTGGGTTACAAAAGTCTTTGGTTTTCTTTGAAATAGCATGAGTTACACGCATTCATTCAGCAAATTTTTAGTGTGCATCTACTGTGGACGGGGCACTGGGGATACAGGAGGAAACACAACAGAGAGGCTGTATCCACACTGAGTGCTCATTCTCTTAAGGGAAGGCAGAAATGTGTGACTTGCATTCTTTTGGGGACTGGGTTATTCATCGATACCCAAAGCAACAACTTTTCAAAAGCCTCTTGAGTGCCTGGCTCTGTGCTGGGCCCTGCAGACCCCAGAACAAATCAGTCCCTGGTCTTAAGAACAAGAGAGGGCCACAGAGTTATTAACGGTGTAATGTGACACGTGCATCCCAGGCTTGGAGCAGAGTCCTGTGGGTCTCAGGGAAGGGAGAAAATTCCACCTGCTTCGTGGAAGAGAAGATTTGTAACTGGTAGTTGGGTAGGCAAAATGTGTGTGTTGCAGGGAGTGATCAGGAGAGGAGAGGACATTCCAGATGGAGGTGACAGCCACGCCAAGGCACGGAGGCAAGAGCGGGTCAACCCGTTCAGAGAAAGATCCAGAGCCCGGGGTGCCTGGAGCTTAGCAGGACACAGCAGGAAAATGGGGCACAAAAAGGAGACTGGGGTCTGATTCTGATGGGCTCCGAATAGGGAGATAAGGAGGCATGGATGGGAGTGGAGAGGTGACGGGATGTGCATTCCAGAGAGAATGTATTTGGCCAGCACCTAGGCCAGAGACTGGCTTACAGTAGGTGCTCAATAAATATCCGTGGAATGAGTGCATCCAGAAGCTACTGCAGGAGTGGGGGTGGGGTTGGAACCAGGGCACCGAAAGGGAGGTTAGGATCCAGCACTGGGCAAGGCCAGAGCTGAGGCTGTTAACACCTGGGCTCTGTCCCAGACTTCAGCCTTTCAACGCATCACACGTTCAGGGAGCTGTGCCCGGAGCTGGGGACAGAAAAAGGACAAGGCAGACAGTCCCCGCAGACATGAACCAAGCAATCACAAGCATGGGGGGGCAGAGGGGGAAGGCGGAGGGGGGCTCCTGACCTTATGTCCCCTCCCCATCCGGCAGTACTTCCAAGGCCGGCTGGCAGGAGCCAACCACAGCACGGCCGGGAGCCTGAGCGCCAACCACACAGTCCCTGAAGACACCTTCAACTTCAACAACTGGGTGACGCTGCTGTCCCAGCTGCCCCTGTTGGTCTTCACCCTCCTCAACTCCTTTCTGTACCAGTGGTGAGAGTGTCGCTCCCCCCCACCCTTCCCCCACTGAGGCAGCTTTATCCAGCCCAGGAAGACCTCCCGTCCTTCCTCTGCTTCCCCCGCATCCACAGCCCCAGCCCTATGGTCCAGCCCCAGGCGCTGAATCTCTTGCCCACTCCCCATCCCTCACCCCCCCACCTCCCCCATCCCCACTGGGCCCAGCTGATCTACTCTGCCTCCTTCTGGACAGCATCCCTGAGACAGTGCGGATTCTGGGCAGCCTTCTGGCCATACTTCTCCTCTTCGTCCTGACGGCAGTGTTGGTCAAGGTGGACATGAGCCCTGGACCCTTCTTCTCCATCACCATGGTCTCCGTC